CTTTTTTAAGCTCAAGATCTAGAATTTGTTCTAAGTATAAAATTTTCTTTTCTCTTAAGCTTTTTCTATGTGTTTCAAATTTTCGTCCAATACTTTTCAGTACTATTTCTATTAATATTTGGCCTAGTGTAATTTGCATGTAATTTGTAATAATTTATGATTGATAAAGAAGCATTATTGGATTATCATATCATAATAATTATGAATCTATTTACTTACTCTATTGATTCAACAAAAATTTTTGTTGAATTATGTTTGAGATCTTGTATGACTTTTCCCAATATTCGATCTTGATTCGCTTTTGAAGTTAAGGGATTACATAATTCAGTTGATGTTATTTCATTTACATTATTGATTTTTTCCAAAATCTAATAAAAGCAAAATAATGTGATTTAAAAGGTTGCTCAATTGACAAATTCATAAATTAATATGCATGAAATTACCTTATTCATTATAGCAATATCAGATGCGAGAGCAGATTGATCCATCCTCCTTTGTGCAATGGCCATCGTAAAATGCAATTCAGTCATTACTACATCAAAATCTTTAACAAGCAAATCAACCTACACTAGCTATTGCTAACTTGCTGCGGGTCTGCCCTTAGACACCAGATAAACTGAAAATAAAGGAAGATGCCCTTCAGTTAAGTCTAAAAGTATAAAAGTTATAATATTAATATCTGTCACTATATAATATATATCTTAATTATGTCTGGTCTTTAAATTATCAATTTATTTCTCGTTCAATTATTAAATTATTCAAATTAATTAATTTTTTAAGTAATTATTTAATTTTTTCCAAAGTTTATCGAAAATTGAAATGCATACAACCAGAAATTTAGAAATTTAGAGTTAATTAGAATTCATGAGCTGGTTTGAGTGAATTAAATTTAGAGACACGCTTATTGTATTATGTAATTTTATCTCACAACTTTTTATTTATTATTTTTTATTTTACGATCTCTTATTTTATTTTATTCTCAATATATATATATATTTCAGAATTATCAAGATCAAGTAGAAGGAAAAGAAGAAAATGAAGAAGTAATATAAGTAAAGGACGAACTCTACTGTCCATATTTAAAAGAAATTCATTAAAAAATGTGTGGAACATCATCTATATCATCAAAATTTTAATAACGAGATAAGAAATAAGGATATTATTAATAATAAAGAAAATTTTTGTATAATATTGAATGCAGAATATTTTTAATTCATTTATTATTTATTTATTTAATTAACTATTTAATTAATTCAATGCTTACTTTTAATTTCACACAGTATGTTAAATTAAGATATAAAAATAATATATATTATTATTAATATCATAACTTATAATTTATGATTATTACTACTGCTAACGATACAAATTCAGATATGTATACATTTTTTTATTGTTTACGCATACAATAAGTAAAAAAAAAAGAACAACGTAGAAATAACAAAAATAAATCACATATTCACAGATGGTTTTGTTTTCAATTTTTAAGTAAATAAAGTGATGCTTTATTAAATAGATTTTATTATCATGGTATAAATTATGTTAAATAATGAGATTGTATTATTGAATTGTACAGTTTGGATTTATTTTTCAATAATCTTAAATACTTCATAATTCACAATAGAAAAATCATCATTAGCTGTTCGAATAGGTTTTTCATAACAACAGTCATCATCATCAGGGTCAAAATAACACCTAGTTTATCTTGAGTAAAAATCAGAAATATTTGATTTCATCATAAATTCATAACAGCCAGACAATGGACCATAAATATTCTTATCATGCTTATAGAATAGAGCTTCACTACTATTTATAACTCGGCTAAAAATTGAAAGAAAAAAATAAAACTATCGTTTGTTTCACTCCTTTTGAATTATCACAAACTAAAGGATTATGACCAACAAATATTTTGTCAGTTCCTGAAATCTTTACAACCACAATTGTATCAGCATGTCCATGACACATATTCCAAAATGTCTTGGGATGAAAACCATCTCTACTTCCTCGAAGAATTAATTGAAATTCATAAGGAATATTTGCTAAAGAATAAATAGTTGATTTTCGATCGATCCATGATGAAAGTTCTGTGATATGTTCATTGTTGATTATAGTTGAGAACGTTTCATTTACTCTTGGTGGTAATTCGATGGTTGAAAAGGTTCTCGCCGGTAAAATAAGGGAATTAATGGATTCATTCGGGGACAAAGAAGTAGGATAATGTCGTCGCATACTGTTTTTCAAGGATTTTTTTATAGGGTTTCATTTTCTTCCAAATGACTTCATCGGGAATATGGAAAAATCGAATAAGTAGTAAACATTGAAACATTGCTGTAGAATAATTTTAAGAGCCTCGAAGTTTTCTTTAGACCATTCTTTCGAATCAGCAGATAAAGTAGGATTTTGTGCAATTCCCCATTTTATAACGTAATCCCAAATTTTAATTTCTTCGACTTTCAAGTCATCCCCCTTCAAAATAGAAACGAACGCCGCCTCTCGAGTGGAGCGGAATCTTCTGATTCAAAATAAAATTTGGATATTTTAAAATAATATCATCATAAAATTTTTTTAATCCCTTAAATTTATACTATCAAAGATTGAATGATAAACAAGGGAGAAATGAGTTCTTAATCAAGAAGCTTTAGATTTAATAAGGTGACTTTCTAATTTTACTGATAATTCATTATGTTCCAGTTCATTAGCATTGAGCATTAATTCATACATGGTTTTGGTATTTGTATTTTCAATATTGACAATTCCCTCATAGATATATCTGAAACAATAAAATTATTTTTATTTTATATTTAATTTAATATATATTCAAAATATAATTAATTTTTCAACTTACTTAAGAATAATTTCGAATATTTGAACAGAAATATTAGGTCTAAGAACAGTTTTAATATGAATTTCATTCGTAAGAGCATTCTTTAATTCTTTATCAAAGTACGATGAACGATAACGTAAGACAACTGAATGTGCAGTAAAAGATTTCTTATTTTCTTCTTGATAACTTCGATGACTACATTATATTCTTTTTGTCATTAAGAAGTTCCGAAAAATCTTGAGATAATTTATCAAAAAATTTAAAAATCATTTTTCTATTCTAAACCTTCCTAAAACTGTTATAAACCTCAATTCTACAGACAATTTATTGACAATCAGCATTGTTCGAATAAGTTAATTATCATAGGTATAGATTTTACCCTATTGTTATTCCTTTTTCGGTGAAGTCACGGCACAAAATATCTTCACCCAATTGGTGAGTATTGGTAAGTTCTTAAGTACCAACAATACTCTTTTTTGGGAAGATTTTCGTGACCCGAAATGGATAAAAAAAGGTCAAGAATTTATATACATGGTACATGGCACATAGTAATGACCATTTAGAAGAATAACCTCCACCCACCCACCCAAAGAATAGCGGCATTTATATAATTTCTGAAATTTTTAAAAATAGTAATCAATATAAAAATAAATTTATTAAAAAAAGTAAAAAAAATTATTTTTTTACTATCACTTATGGAAAATAGTAAAATAATTAATTTTTTTTACTATTTTTATCACTTAAAATTTTTACTATTTTTATCACTTAAAATTTTTACTATTTTTATCACTTAAAAATAAATATAAGCGATTTTTTATATAAAAATAAATTTACTATTTTCTATAAGCGATAGTAAAAAAAATAATTATTTTTACTATTTAATAAATTTATTTTTATTGCTTAAAATAAATATAAGCGATTTTTTATAAAAAAAAGATTTAATTTTTATTTTTATAGTGATTATCGAAAATCATTTTCGGTAATCACTAAAAAATAAAAATTAAATTTACTATCGCTAATAGAAAATTAAATATTTTACTATTTTTTATAAGCGATGTAAAAAAATATTTTTTTTTTATTAAAAGATTTAAAAATTGAAAGCTAGTATGAATGGTGATAATCATAAAGATATA